ATTAATTTAATGTTCCCAAGCCCAAAAAATGCAGCTGGGGGAGATATTATAGTGGAAATAGAGGCAAGGGGCTATGTAAGTGTAATCTTTCCTGAAAGCACCTGAATGCGGCACAGAGGGAGTTGGGTGAGTGTCGTGACGTTGCAGCCGTGGGGGCGTGGCTCTGGTGAAATCAGCTGGGAGAAACAACAACACAAGAGGAGGTGTCTCAGAGCACAGAGCAGATCTGTGGCTCCAGTTATGTCCCGGTCTCATTCGGAGAAGACGCTGGTTTCACGTCATCGCAGCTTCACAGCAGGTCTCCAGCAGCCAGGAGAGACGAGCTGAGGCCCGAGGAGCCAGAAAAACAGAAGGAGGAAAACGGCGAGTGGAGGGAGCAGAGGAGGAGGATGTGACAGGGGCAGAGGTCCTGTGTGCGACGGTTGTGTATGTTTTTAGCTGGCAAAGAACTGCACACACACATATACACACACACATAGGCAGTGACCACTACCTCCCCCTCAACACCACCATCACCATTCTCCGTGCGTCTTTTGTCCGGTTTGAGTGACCGGCTGCACCGCCCAGCAGAGTGGCATGTGGGTCAACTCCGGAACCGTCGGAAGGTAGGGAACAGCCTCCTGCAGGAGTCACATGCTCCCACTCAGCCGTGCACAAAAGCCACTGTTTCCAAACCACATGTCCTTTTACTCCACAGATCCTGACATCATCGTCATATCACGGTGACCTTATTGTTCCTAGTGGCTTTTTAATCTCCTCTTACGCGCGTAATAGTCCCCGAGGCTCTCATTCACATGCCACGTGCATTAAATGGTTATTTTCTACAGTGTAAGGTCGCTGTTGCTGCTGTTGAAACCCACACGTGCCGCACAGACAGACAGGTGTTTGTTTGAATACACTGTTGCAGCGGATGGGTGGATGGATGGATGGATGGCACATTACGCAAGACTTTATCATTTGGGATGTGGGCTGATGTTCCACCTTTATGCCACTACAGCGATATGTGACACACTTCTTACTCCACCACGGTGCTGAATGGATCCTGCCTTTTACTGACGGTTCACAAAAGAGTCGCTGGTTTGTTGAATCGGTTCCTCCTAAAATAAATCTGTGAATGGGGCCAGGTGGTTATGAATGACTGCAGGGAGGGAGAGCGCACGAGGTGCTGTTCATTGATGAGCGTAGTGATGCTGCAGCAGAGTATTTAGTGGAACGGCACGCGCATTAGAACTGTGACAATAGATAACGTGCACGATCTCGGGC